TCTCTCCTGGTCTCCAGGAGCTGGCTGGATGGCCCAAACGTCCTTCAGATAGTGGATCGCCGATTCCATGAGATCCCTCTTTGAGGGGTCCCTTGAGATGGGGCAGCACACAAAGGCACTGGGGGGGGGGAGAAAAGAAACTCCAAAGAGAGACCTGACCATAAAGTTGTCAGGATCCAAGCGTCTGTCATGATCTGTTCCCACCTCTGCCAGGTGTCAGTTGTTGCATCTAAAAGATCTGTTGGAACCCTGAAAGGACCTTCTGTCATCTTGCCTCTGATGCCCTCTGGCAGCAAAGGCCGGACTATTGGCCTGAAATGAGGTTCTTTGGAAGAAGGGCCTACTTTGATGGGGAAAGCTTGCCCCAGCTTCCCCCTGTTTAAAGGAGGGTTTTCTGTAGTAGAGTGGAGACCTGTAATCAAAACGCCTCCCCTGAGAGGGCAGGATCTTTCGCTTGTCCCTGGTTTCCAACAAAAAAGGGATCCAGGGCCTTCCCAAAAAGCCTCTCTCCCTTAAAGGGAGCAAACGCCAGCTTCCATTTGTCTCTGGCGTCCATCTGCCAATTTCTTAGCCAGATGAGCCTACGTGCTGTTACAGATGAGGTCATGGCTCTGGAAGAAATTTTGGCTGACTTGAGGGTGGCATTAGCTGTCAATTGAGCTGCGGCCATTATCTTATTTAAGTCCTTATGCACCCTGAGGTCCTCAGGTGGGATTCTAGCCTGCAGCTGCCGCAGCCACCCATTAAATAAGGTAGACTCAGACCTACTGGGGCGAGTGTACTCCCCCCAGGGGACTCCCACTGCTTTTTAATCACATTCATAAATGTCTGGGGTACAGGTACAGCATCCACCACAGATGCTTTCTCAGTGAATAGGTAATCTTCCTGATCTTCCCCCTCTGGGGGAAGATCCCAGGTGACCTTGTCCCTTTTTTAAGATGAGCTGTGCTCTTAGCCTTAACCAGCAGAGTCTTGAAGAAAGCCAGCTGGAAAAGGTCCTTAAAGGATGGGGGGACCTTCTACCTCCGACTCCCCATCCAAAAAACCCTCTCTGGAAGGAAGTCCCTCTTGGAAACATAAGACTGGCTTCTTTCTGAAGGGGATGCAGAACAATTTCTGAAGTAGATTGGCTGTTCTGCAGAAGCCTGCCCCTGAGGAACGCCTCTGTTGGTATCCAAACCAGGCAGCTGGTTGACTTAAGCCTGAAATTATTCTCTAATTGTTTGGGAGATCCAGGCTCTCATGAAGGATGGCATCTCTTGCCTGTGTCTCCTCAGGCTGCAACCCAGCCACTGTAGGGGTAAAGGTGGCTTTTTAAAATTTATTTTCAGGTGCAGGTCTGGTTCTGCTGGAGGCTTGGCTTCCAGGTGCAGCAATCAAAAATCCTTGTGGTGGCTCAGAGTTATTACGAGTGGCTTTTGCCTTGATTTGGAGGTTTCCCTGCAAATCCTGAGTACTTGAGCCACCAGGAAATCAGGCAGTCAAATATTGTCTATCCCTGCCAATTGGTCTTGCTGCCTGCCATCTTGTGGGAGCAGAGGAGAGATGGCCCAGTTCAGCCATCTTGTAGTCTCTCACCACCTTATCAAACTCCTTATCTAGGGCTTTCTGTCTATGCCTGGCCTGCCTATCCTCTGCCCTAGAGGGTCTTTTAGAGGGGCTAGGGTCCTAGCTCTGATCCTAGCTGCTGCCTCCAGCCCAGCAGACCTGGACTTAGTTGATCCCCTTGCAGCTCTCTCCTACTCTGCTGAGGAGCTGATATTTCTTGGCCAGCTCCCCTGGCGGCCATTTTGAGCCCGCCAAAAATAATTGTCACTGACAGGGAGAGAGAAAAGGAAAAAAAAGGGGCAAAAGAAAAATAAAAACAAAATTTATTTGATCTAAAGCTGTCTGCTTTGGTCACAGCAGCTGTCCACCACTTCAGGAGGCTAGTGCGACCCAGAAGTGGTGAGCTCAGCACAGCTCCACAATTTAAGACAAGAGTCAAGGCAAAAAGGAAAAAAAATGGCTGACTCTTTAAAATTGCTACAAGCCCTGACAGATCAGAGGCTTGTAAGCCAGTGCTGGCTGCACCACAATCAATTTGGCAGTCTCAAGCGTCTTACAGCTGCCACAGTGCTCTGGTGACTGGACAGGGGGTCAGGATTCAATCCAGATGGCCAGTACCCCCCCCCCCCAAGGGACAATCCTGGAGACAAACTGTTTGAAATGGCCGTCGACGCCGAAAAGGGGCAGAAGCATCTCGCGTTTTTTGCGGCTAGCACAGATCATAAGAACGGACCAGGAGAAAGTGAGTTGAATAAGACACTGACTCCCGCCTCCCCCCAGCCCAGGCCACACGAGCTCTCAGGGGCACCTCCAACCAAATTTACAATCACAATTCCAAAAATCAGTCCACCAACAAAGAATTTTTTTTTTAAAGGCAGTCAAAAAAAAGAAAGAAAAACAAAAGTGCTAACCGGCAAGCCGGCTAACTGTCAAACCTGCTCTAAGCCTCTCAAAGAGAAAAAAACTCAATTCAGGGGGTGATTCTTCTACAATCTTAACTATTCAGAGCCCTTAAAGGGTGGTCTGAACACGCTGAGGCCGAGTGAAGAACTGGGGACCGTTACCAGGGGGGGTGTCCTCAGTTTTCAACCTGGTCTGCGGAGCTATGAGACTAGAAACTAGAGACTACCCATCCTGGATTCTCCCTTCGGCTCAGTGGAGAAGTAAGTGTTCCATGCTAGGATACTTCCATGAAAAACACCAGGATTGCAGGCTGACGTTATAAAGAATTGTGACTCGATACCAAACAAATGTATAAGTTTTCCTTTGGATATATAGGATCTCACAAATAAAGCAGAATTCTTCTATTTTTAATAACACCATATTTTGTTATTAATATAAGAATAAAACCCAAATTACGTTGAAAAAATAATTGTAGGATTTAATTTTGCTCTTAATTTTTGAATTAATATAATTCGGTTTTATGACTGAATGTTTACCACGCAGGTAGCTTTATTACATTCAGTATCTCATACTGTACACTGATTGCTCATTAATCCTAATTTAAGTTTGTGAATAAAGAAAAGTTTGTCATTTAAGATGCTATATACATTTTATACCTTTCACAGAACAACATAATAGCATGAATCATGCAAGAATATGAAAATAGCATATTCTATAGCTGTTTGTACCTTTTCCCCAGGATCAATAGGCTGTCTTACGCCATAAATCCACGCACACAAATACACATGCACACGTGTACACATTCTATACACAGAAATTTGCACTATATGGCCTAAAGAACTCAAAATGAAGCCGGAGAATGACTTAACAATTTCAAACAACCAAAACAATGCCAAAACATGGACATCACCAGCTGGAGAGAGAGAGAGTGTGTGTGTGTGTGTGTGTGTGTGTGTGTGTGTGTGTGTGTGTGAAGGCGGAAGGACTTAGTTATAATAGCAAAGACATGGCCAGGAACTGATTGTGAAACAGATCACAAACTACTCATGGGCAACTTCCAAGTTAAGATAAAGCAGAAGAAGAAAGCCAACCATTTCCCATGGTATGATCTTGAGCATATACCCAACATTTTCAAGGAGAACATCAACAATCACTCTGAAGTTCAAACTCATTCATCAGGAACCAGAGCAACTCTGGGATGAATTTAAAGAAGTCATTAAGAATGAATGTGAAAGGTGATTGCCAAAGTTAGGGGGAAAAAACAAAAGAAGGCACACTGGATACCAGAACAGTGGAAATTGCCAAGAAAAGTGAAGCCAAAGATTTCAGGAAGGAACTTAACAAAGAATTTCAAAAAACCATTAGAAGAGACAAGAAACAGTACTACAATAATATCTGTAAAGACAGTAAAGATGGAAAGAGGCATGAAAAACAAGAAAAGTTTTCCAAAAGTTGTCTAAATTTTAAAGATAGAATAAGGAATGCTGAAATTGTCTACAATAGAAATCTCAAAATCAAAGACATCTGTTCACAAAACCAAATCAGCCCTCCAGTCATTACCAAACTGAAAGGTTAAAAGAATTGAGGTAGGATCTATAGAAATATAGCAAACAACAGAAGAATCAATAAAGGTTGTAATCAAACTATGACAACAAATCTGGAGAACAATACAATGGCCAACCAATTGGACGAGGTCAATCTTCCAATAGTAAAGAAAAAAAACTTAACAAAATATGCAAACTATCATATAATATCTTTAATTTAATATACTAGAAAAATAATGAATAGGATTATTCAAAGCATATTAGAGCTCAACAAGAGAGATGCCAGATATTCAAACTGGTTTTTGAAAAAGTTAAGGAGCATGAGACATTATTGCTGATGCATGCTGGATAATTGAGAAAGCCAAAGAATACTCAAAAGAGGTCAACATATGCTTCATTAATTATAAAAGTCTTTGACTGTGTCAATTGTGTCAAGTTATGGAATTTGTTAACAAAAATGGAAATCCTAAAACATCTCATTGTCTTCATGCAAAATCTATACACAGATCAGAAAACCATAGTCCAGAATACGGAAAAACATAGTAGTTCACAACAGCAGTGGGAAATGGTCAGGTAAAGGAGATATTTCCTACAGAAATTGCTTGCTTTTTTCCCTCCTCTATCCCCCCAGAGCAGAGAGTTGGGAGAGGAAGAGATTTCAAGAGAATAGGCTGTTTCCATAGCATAACCATGGCTTCCATCCCCAGACAGTTGGCACAACTGCATTGCTTTTGATGTGAACAAGACAGTAAGCAGGCACTTGAAGGTGGGATAGTGGTTATGGGGAAACAAAGGCTTAAGGTGTTTAATTGAATAGTTTTGTCTGTTTCCAGCCAGAAAGCACCATCATAGTCACATGGTTTTCCACTTAGCAACCATTAGGGGCAGATTTGCTGATCTCAATTAGTATCATTAAGTGTGGATTACCTGTATACAATGTCACTCTATTAATACCATGTTTATTCTTACAAGATCTAGAAAAAAAAAGAAAAAAAAGATACTCACTATTTCTTTCTGTTCTTTTTGAAAAAAAGAAGATGAGGAGTGTTCTTATGGACCAAATGCTAAAGAGAAGAGAAAAGTTAGAGGGTAAAAGAGAGAAAGAACATCCAGCATTAAAATCTAGATAAGAGCAAACAGAACATTGTCACTGTTTGTAAAAATGTAAGTATTCTCTGTAATACATCATAACTAATCCCAATTTTAATAAAAGACACTAATGCCAAGAAAGTCATGTGCTTATGTAACCACCTCATTTCATGTTATAAGTTCACTGAATGTACTTGTTTCAAGTAAGGTCTTTAAGACAGCAAAAATTGTTATTAGAGGCAAAGCCTGCAGATTGTGAACTGGAAGGCAAAAAACAACTACTCATCCATTCCCTATCTTAATAAATTGCATCCAATTAAGATGCTCTACTTTGGGACTCTGTTGCATTTATACTTGGCTTTACTGAAACTCCATCACTGTATGTCAAATAAAACCAGAATTTAAGACAAGTAGAAAATAATACAGTTTCTGTATTTCTTCGTCTCTTTTACAGAAACATTTATACAAACAAGATAAATTTCTGTACCGCAGAAATTTCTGTGTTACAAACATGCAGTTACAAACTTTTGTTTCTGGTGAACCAAATAGCAGGCTCTTTAGTATGAGTAAAACTGGTTCACCCTTGTGCTGTATTTGAAATTATGAACAAGATGGCAATGTTGAACAGCTTTCAATACATTGTCAGCAAATATAATGCTTCATTTTAGCCATTTCACAATACAGACTGATTAACAGGAATCAGAAAAACCACAGTAAGCTTTTCAGAATCAACATTTTTTCAAATCATTTCAGTTGTCCACCTTTGGATGGCAGAAATATAGATATTAATTAGATTTGCTGCAATCTTGCAGCCATCCGAATTTTTCAGCTCAGATATTGTCTCTCCAGAAGTGTACAATTTCCAGAAAATGTAGCATCAGAAAATGTTCTGGAATTTTCCTTCTATGTAAATAGGTATACTTCTAGTGAGTGTAATAATCTCAGTATCCACTGTCCAAACTGTGTACTTTGGCTACACTATCTGAAGTGAAAAGAATTAAATCCAGCCTATATTATGGGGCTTAAACAGTACAATCAAAGTTAACTGTAAGGTTCTGCAGAGAAAAAAAATGCTTTTATTGGAATGTAGGAAATGGCATTCAACAATAAAGAAGAAAACATAATACAATCATAGTATACCTTTTCTAAAATGTTTTTAAATGTTTTTAACATTTTTGCCATATTAAATAAATAAATCTAAAATGTTTAATAAAAATACTTTGAAAAATAATATAATTTTGAAACTATCAAACTTTTCTGAAGTGGGAAATTTTCAGACCCCAAGTAGCCCCTATTTTCACTCTATAATTTGCAAACCCTTTTTGCCTATTTGCAATACACAAAGAGCTTTACATATTAAATATAATATGAATATAAATATAAATATAAATATTTCTAATAGCTCTATATTTTTCATTTATGTTTGGCAATTCTATAGATGTTTCGAATTTAAAAGAAACTAACCTGAACATTTTAGATATAAATATCAAAATCACTGAAAATGCCTTCATTATCTTACTTTCAAAACTAATTTAAATACATGCATTAAGCTAGGCAGCAAACAAATTCCTGAAAGTCAGCAAACTTTGCCAGCATTGGTAATACTATCAGACCCTTGGAGAATAGCCCAAGGCAGCATTTTTCTAGGAACCACAGGCCAAGAAAGGCAGGCACTATTTACTTTGCTTAAGGCTCCAGAATTAGCACTAGATCAAACTACATATTCCACATAGATTCACATTTTGACTGGAAGAAAAAACAAGTTGTCAACAGCTAGCCATTCCTAGCAGGAGAAAAACAACTGAGACGAATGCTATCTGATCTTGCAAAATAGGTAATCTACTACCAAAGAAACAAGAAGAAACAAAGGAGTAGCATTTGGGGGTTTTCTTTCCCTTTCCAGAGGCTTTTTTAAAAAAATGTCCTTCTCATAAACCAGTGAGAGAAAACTGATCTGTATTCTATCCAATTACTGTTACTGCTATAAGAAAATGTTAAGAGCAGGCAAGCGAGCAAGTAGATTAGAAGATAAAGAGAAAACGAAGCTCTAAAAAGTCCCTAACCATCCTGACCAGGGCTGTTGATTGAGAGTCAGTGTTCCTGGGTCTTGGTCTAATTATTCCAAGCGTTCCTATAACCCATGAGTCCTCTATGATTTCACTGAGCTCATGCATTCCTGAGTTTCTCCTATAGTAATGCACAGTTGTGATTGCCATAAATACAATCAGTATATTTCTGTGTCAGAGACTCCGAAGTGTTTCAGGAGTCACCAAACATTGGTCTAGGACATGTGACCAAACTTTTGGCTTGCCTGGGCCGCACTGGATGAACAGGAATTGTCTTAGGCTGCATATACAATATGCAACATAGTTAAATTATATAAATAACATAATATGTTAAAAGTTAACGTTGTTTTAGAGCTGTGTTACTAGCTTTCCAGGGTCACATGCAGCCCACGGATTGGGGCCACCTTGTCTGGAATCATATGCAAGTTCGGGCCAAACACTTGCCCATTCTGTGTGGAAGGTTATTTTCTTAGTTTCAGAAAACTTTATTTTCTTTTTTTAAACCTGAACAAAATATTTCCTTCTAGCAGAAATTTACAAATCTATGATGTGAATATTTTGTGAAAACTATGCAGAGTGTGGGTTTTGTACCTCAAAATGGCTATTGTAAATCAAAGAGTTCTTAGGGTCCAGAACAGCACCATGTAGAAAATGCTGCAACTTTAAAATTATTTAATTTAGGTGGGGAAATTATCATAGGGGGGGCATATAATAATAATAGTAAATAATAAAAATATTATTTATTTCTTACAGCATTAGAAATTGGGATCATTCAATAAGTCGTAGAATGGGCAAAGGAAAGTACTTCTTCCCATGGGACATACTGATTGCCGGAACAAATGGATAACATTTCAGATGGTGAATACACAAATTAATGGAATATAACATTATCATTATTTATTTAATTTATTTACCCCCTATCTTGTGGCAAAAATTATATATCAGAGCATGTCTTGTTCAAAAATAACAACAGAAGGTTACTGGGCTTCCATATTCATTATGAACTTCTCAGAGGTCCTGCTTAGTCTATGGAAAAAAACTGTTTCCTGATTCCTTGTTTACAAGTTCTGGATAGCTGCAGAGAGCTCAGGATAACACTCTATTTCAAGGAGAACCCATAGCATTCTTTCAACTCTTTCTTCATAATGTCTGTAAAAATAACGGGAATGTTATAAAACACAAATATTTTACTTACATCAGAGGAAACGCAAAAAGTGGAAGAGTCATAATAAATCGAGCAGTCCATTCATCAGGAAGGTACCACAAATAAATAACAAAGCAAATAAGAAGATAGAGGACAGATGAATAGAGGAGAAATCTTCCAACCCATAGCTTCTGCTGCCTCTGATTTTTCTCTCTGAACTCTTCCAGTGACTGGATATCCTGTAAATATAAAAATATTTATATTTGTATATCTTGGCAGCATTTTAACTTTCTAAAACTTTCATCTGAAAAATTAGATAATGAGATAATGTACTAAAATAACATTCTAAACCTGTTTATGATTTGTGTTCAGAAACATATGCATAACCCTCACTTAGTACACATACGAAGGATGGGGCAGCATGAAGAAACATCTGTGTAAGAAGAAGGGATGAAAAAAAATAATGAGGTAGATTTTACATTCTCCTATATAAAAAGGGAGTAAGTTATACATAATTATCTTCACTTCAAGAATATCCAACATGCCTGTAGAAACTGCAGAAACCAGAAAGCTCAAAAGTCTTATGTTTAAATATACTTTATTATGTAAAAATAAATAAATGCATTTTGACTGTGGTAGTTCTTGTTAGCAAATATGATGGTAATAAATGTTAGTAAAAATATTATTTTCTGACAAATGCCCAGATTTACGCCTAAATTTCTGCACCTGACCAAAAAAAAAACACATTAGAGTGAGAATGATTTTATCTAAATGAGGCCAACTATCAGTAAGCTTCACAGCATTTCTGTCTCTCAGTCATGTGGTTCACTTAGCAACCATGTCATCAGAACCAATTGAGGTTGCTAAACAAGGATTAGCTGTAATTCTGAATAAGCACTAACATACATTAATCTAATATCTTAATTAATATTTTGTATGACATTGTGGCACCAAGTCAATGTTTACACCCGGTCATCGATTGGACTAATCTAGTCCAATCCAATTTAGTCCAGTTTTCTTAGCAAGATTTCAAAAAAAGTTTGCCATTGTGCTCCTCCATAGGGTGCAGAGAGAGTATGACTGGCCCAAGATGGATTTGGATCCAAGATGGAATTAGAACTCATGGTCTCCTATTGTCTAGTCTGATACCTTAACCACTGCACCAATCATAAGTATTACTTACATGGAAGTATTTTTATTAAATTTAACAGGTGAATTAATTTGTTAATCATTTGTCCCACTCTAGGAAAAAGGGAGTCCTTGGCAACAATGAAGAATGTATAGTCTCTTTTATTTCCCCTTCCTAAAGCACTTTCCTCCTAAAATTCAGCATTTTATAAATTTCCATTTTTATTTATTCTCAAACAGTCTGCTCCTACCTAGAATGTTTATGCTTGTAACATATGTAAAGACACTCTAACTCAGAGGTGTCAAACTCAAGGCCCGGGGGCTGGATTCGGTCCATGAGGTGCTTAAATCAGCCCGCAGGGCCACCCTGAAATCAGTGAAGGACTGGCCAGCAGTGCCTCTGCCACATGCAGCCCTCCTAAGCTCCATTTTCGATTGCAAAGGGTTGCAGGAGGCCGTTGAAGCCAAAAATGGAGCTCGGAAGCACCGCAGGTGACCCTCCCAGCTTCACTGTTGCTGGCAGAGGGTTGCAGGAGGCTGTCGCAGCTGAAACAGAGTTCAGGAGCTCGTTTTCTCTGGCAGAGCACTTGGGCCACTACAGGTGTCCCCAACAGGAGTGACGTCAAGCTGGCCACACCCACCTTGGCCACTCCCACCCTGGCGCCCCAGAGGTCAAACACAACCCTGATGCAGCCCTCAATGAAATCGAGTTTGACACCCCTGCTCTAAATAATCACCCACAATTTTTTTATATTATCCAACTTAAACTACATATAATGTGACACCTGAAAAGATAATTAAAGTCTTTCAGTTCATAAAAGCAGTATTAAAAGAAAATCTTACCTTATCAAGTTTTTCCAACACTTCTACAGTGGAAGGTTTTGCCTGCTTATAAATGAAAGGAAAAAGCTGTGAAATATTACCCCGACTAGATAATAAATACTATCAAACAAACAAAAATTAGAAATTTAGAGAAGGGGAGAGTTGTAATAATTTGAGTAATAGCAGATTCCCTTGCAAACTTTTTCTCTGCTTATATAACTTACTTCCCCAGTCACCTCATGCTAAGGTGGCCAAAAGTGCATATATGAAGAAGCATTTGTAGCACATGCACTCTAACTTTTCCCATAACTTTATCTGCCTCCACAGATCGCATGAGAAAGAAATGCAATACAGTAAGAAAGCAGAAACTGCAATTTGCAGAAAGGTCCCCAATTTCTAAGAGAACAAATTGCATAACACATCGCTTGGCACTGCATGCTCTGAGCAGCACACATCCTCAAAATCAATATTACGATGTAAAAGAACAGATCATTGAAGTAACAAATTTCATTTGACTGAGACCATCCCAAATGAAGCAGTTTCCCAGGTCTATAGAGTAATAACTCTGACTTCTGGGTGACCTAAAATGATGGTGAATGCTTGGGGGGGGGGGGAGAGGGGGGGGGGGAGGGAGAAGAGAAGACAGAGAGAGAGAAAGATGTTCCTTGACTAGGATATGTTAAAGTTTAATCGGAATTTTAAGAAGTGAAAAAAACTAGTTTATGGAAGATTTTAAAAAGGATGAAGAAAAATAAATAAATTAGTATATGGAAAAAATTAATTAATAAAGTTGTAAATTTTAGCAAAATTTCAATGTACATATTAATTATCTTTCTATACTTTCCATAAATACAAACAGAAGATTACACTTCGTTGTAAGGATTGTGATAAGGGCCTCTTGAATCTTGAACAGGTTTGTCCAGTTATGCAGAATTAAATAACTTTATTTAAAGATAAAAGCTGTCCTCTTTATCTATGGGAGGATACACTAGAAGCAAGACAATTTTGCAAGCCTGGAATCTATAAATATAGGACATGGACAAAAGTCTCAAGAAAACTGTCACTGCTCCACTTGTTATCAGTGCTCCAATGAAGCTGAAACAAAAAGGGTCATGCCAAGACAGGTTTGAAGGAGGCCCTGCAGCCATAGGATTCAACCACCAACACCAGCCTTCCAATAGTGAGAAAATAGAAAAGACAACAGGTTGCTCTAACCTCCTAAAAAAAACAAATATTGTATGCAACCACATAAATAATATATATACTGAAAGTTCTCCCTTTCTTTTCTCTCACATTCACATAGACATTTCCTTTACAATGGAAAGGAAATGTTTCAGAATGATGGGAATGCAAATGAACATTTATGTTCATCGCATCTCTACACAGAAACTCTCATACAAACTTGTATCCTAGGGTCCTACATATAAAAGCGAATCCGAATCTTTTTCTTCAACATTCTAATTCTTAAAAAGAAGAGGAAATTGGATTGAAGAATATCTAAAGATTAGATATCTAAATACATAGATATCTAATCACTAAATATCTAGATCAGGGGTGTCCAACCTTGGTAACTTTAAGACTTGTGGACTTCAACTCCCAGAATTCCTCAGCCAGCTTTGCTGGCTGAGGAATTCTGGGAGTTGAAGTGCACAAGTCTTAAAGTTGCCAAGGTTGGACATCCCTGATCTAGATAATTAATACATATCTATAAAGTCTTATAGGCCAAAATATATTTTGATCTGTCCCTCAGTTTTTTCCAGTTGTACTAATCTTAACTGTGATCTTGCACACCTGTGAAAAGAAGTACATAAATCCTTGTCTGAAGGTTCTGCAGAGAGGGAGAGGAGTGAGGGAAAGAGAGAGAGACAAGAAAGAAAGAAAGAAAGAAAGAAAGAAAGAAAGAAAGAAAGAAAG